TATTTAAGGGATAATTTTGCTGGGTATCCGATCCTTGCATAGTTTTCCTTTCAAACATTTTGTATATGTCATCCATTATCTTCTTGCCTGTATGGTTTATACTGAGAAATCAGCCCTTAAACCTATTATTCATTCTTCGTAGGTTATTTTTTGGTTCCTGAGTTGATTTCAATATTCTTTCCTTGTCTTTGATTTTGGAGACTTTGATTATGATATGTGTTGGTGATTTTCTTTTGGGGTCTTTCTTGTTTAGGGTTCATTCAGTTTCTTGAATGGTTATCTTCTTTTCTTTCAATAGTTCTTCGACTATCTTTTCTGTGCTTTTCTTTGACGCTTCCATAAGTTATTCCTCTTCATGTTGTCCCACATGAATCTGAAGCTTTCTATGAATTCTTTCATTTTTTTTTCTTGTTGTTCTTCTATTTTACTGGTCTTGAGAGATGTATCTTCAAGTTCATTGATCTGGGCTTCCAATAATTCAGACCTGCTCCTTTGCCCTTCCAATGTGTGGTCTATTTCTGAAATTTTAGCATTAATGTTTTGGATATCTATTTGCAGGTTTTATATTGTCTTCAATCCTTTATCTATTTTGTTTTTGTTCTTTAGTGTTTTTCTGAATTCTTCCTTATTTTCCTTGACATTTCTGTCAATCAATTGAGTGGTGGTGGTGGTTGTGGTGGTGATTGCGTGTCATAGAGGTATTTCTGACTCATAGTGACCCAGAAATAGGATTCCAAAGATGTAAATCTTTGTGGGAGCAGAAACCGGTATCTTTCTTCCATACAGTGGCTAGTAGTTTTGAACTACTGAACTTTTGATTAGCAACCCAACTCGTAACCACTACGTTAGCAGGACTGCAGGTCATTCATTTGCTGTTTTTGTTAAGTGGCATCCAGTCGTTTCCAATTCACAGTGATTTTGTATAGGGTTTCTGAGGAGCCGCTGAATCTGAACTCCTAACCTGTGGTTCAAGCTGATCTTGTGGTCTAGTGCTTATCCAACAGCACTATGCCATTTGTTGTTGCTGTTAAGTGTTGTTGTCGAGTTGATTCTGACTCATAGCAACCCTATATAGGGTTTCCAAGGAGTGTCTGGTGAGTTTGAACTGATGACTTTGTGGTTCAAACTGACCATACAGTCCAGTGCTTTGGAAGTACATAAATATCATTCTCTTCAATTATTTTTCAGGTAGTTCCAGTGACTTTTTTCCCCTCAAAAACATTTTCTAGCTCTGCATCTTGGTCACTTGTTTGAACCACTCTGTTTTATTTCTTTGTGTGAAAGGAAATGGTCTGTTGCTTCCAAGACATTTTGGTGCTGTTGTATTTGTATTTATTTGTATATTGACAGTGTATTGGTGTATTCTTAGGTACTCAAAAACTTCCTCCCAGTGGGTGTGATTATGGGATGGAAGCATATGACCATTTTCTGTTTGCCATTCATACAGCTCAATTTAGGATGAGTTTGGCTGATGTTGATTGTTATTATTGATCAGGTGTATAGCAGCTGATATGAGCTCTTGCTTGGTAGGTGGGGTTGTACAGGGCACAGTTGCTGTCCCCGGTTGGGCAAAGCAAGATGAAAACACACAAACACACACACACAGAAGGAGAACAAAACCAAAATAAATAAAATAAGCAAACAAAAGTGAAAAAAATGAAATAATAAAGTGGGGGAAAAGTGGCAACAGCTAGAAAAAGTATACAAAATACTAAAAAAGAAAAGAAGGAGAGGGGAAATTTTTCTTAAAATCATGGAAGAAAGCAAATGAGAGGAATAAATGGAAAAAAATGAATATAGTTAAGGATGATTGAAGGGGGAAAAATCAGAAAGTAGTAAAGAAAAACCAAGAGAAAAAACTGAGAGAGATTAAAAAAAAAAAAAAAGAGTCAGCAGTGGTTTGGGAAGAAAATCAGAAAAAAAAAAAAAAAAAATCGAAGATAGAAAGGATAAAATGCAAGAGTAGTTAGAGAAAGGAAGAAGAGGAAGAAAGAATAAACAAACCACAACAACAAAAAAAGAAAACAGGGCAGTTGCCAGATCTCCTGTCAGCCTCCTCACATAGTGAGTGGGCAGGGGATGAGACTATGGCCCTAGATGGAGTTCCAATAGGACTAAGTGTTTTGTTCTGGTTACTCAATGTGAAAGTAGTTTGTGCAGAACCCAAACAGCTGGGGCATCGGGTTATTTCTTTCCTAGATGGTAGCCAAGGATAGCAGTCTTACTAGTCCAGAGCTGGCCAGAACCACTTCTGCAGGTCTGGAGCAGGTGACACCTGATTCCAGACACCTGGGTTGGTACTGCTAGCTCCCCTAACATTTTGATGTGCCTCTGACCTCCTGGAGAGCAGAAGCTTAACTAAAAGTGCATGTGGGTTGGAGCTGGCCATGTTTCTAGTCACCAGGGTAAAGTGGGGCACAAGAAAAAAATTAACACATTTCTCTGCCAATAAGCGGTATAGCTCTATGTCACCAAGCACCCTCTGGCCTTCAAAGCTGCCCTTAAAAGTTCAAGATGGCTGTGTCTCACCTGGACAATGTGCCCAGATCACCTGTCTCCTTTTTTAAAATCTCCCATGAATCTGTTCAGCTGCTTCTCCTAGTTAGGACTAATTCAGGGCTGGCTGGTGCCAGCTCTGCAGGTTTGGAGCAGAGCCCACCTGAATCCAGGCCCCAGGCTAATGTGGATAGTTCACTGCTCACCTGGGTGGGGCTCACAAACTGCAGGTACTCACTTCTGTTAGGCTCTGACAACCAGGAGAGTGGGAGCTTTGCTGAGGGTGTAGCAGGTGGGGACAGCTGTGTCTCTGGTCACCAGGGGAGTGTTGTTGTTGTTGTTGTT